TAGCTACACGATATGTCATATTTACTTCAAAAGCCAGAGTTTAAGTGTAAGGTCAATGTTATAGTATAAAAGTTAGCGTCACTATATAATACAAGACTTGTTAAACTGATTTCAAATGAATCCTTGATGATAACACAAATAAATTAATCCATAAACCACTAATTTCCCCACTCATTCGTTATAAGAAATTTTCACAAAATTCCGTCATCAATTTCCCTCAGCGCCCATAGAACCGACTCATGCACACATCAAATGAAATGTTCTCAGACTCACACATACAAACATTTCACACAATATGATTAATTCGGGCGTTGTTGCGTCGCGTCATGGCGTCATACCGTGGTATTAGCATACGTCATGACGTCGTGTGCCGACAATCTATTAAACGAAAAAACTGCCCCCGCCGCTCCCTGGATACGCATACAATATTTATGAGATGTTCTACCGGCGAGATGAGATATGTTCTGTGTTAATAGCGGCCAGCGAAAAGCGGGGAATGTTCATATATCCCATACCTTCATAATCATGTGACATTTCTTTTAAAACATAAACTTGAACCTTTTGCCACCTCTTTTGGATAGTTTAGTGCAAAATTCAGATCTTTACTCGCTTAATATATTCCATATTAGGTCAATATATACCAGTAATTAGAGTTTTCCAATTTGTTTAGTGTATTCCCGCTTAACTCGTATAACTTAGGCCGGTCAGTTGAACTAGTCTCAGATTAAAGTTGGGTCCGACGCGGTCCGTCTCGGGAATCATGGTCCACGAGTAAATCCACCGAGTTCCCTGGAAACTGTCTGTTTATTACATTCAACCAAATTACTTGACAACTTGCGAATTTTTACACCAAACTTTGCGAAAAATGAGATGAGACTTAAGTACTGAAGTTTGTTATAGAATTCGACAAAATACTCTTAAATTCTTGTATTAATGTCAACTCTTGTTACTTATAATATTGATGACAGATTGCCTTAGGTTTTTCTTTTGATGACTGTAATTATTGAGTATTTTTCATTTTACTAATCGTTTTTCGCGTGGTTGCAATTGCGCGACTACCAGACAAGGGGTCTCGGGTTCGATTCTTGGGTCGGGTAAAGTATTACTAGGTTTTTAAGAAAAATCTCAGTATTAGCACGGAGTCTGGAATTGAGCCCTCTATGTGGCAATAGGCTCATCCCTTATAACATGGGACTCAAAACATAAATAGTGAAAAATGGGTGTTACATTGCACAGTGGCGTTAGGTACTGTAATGTGCACCCCTGCATGCCACAAAAGGCGTGATGTTATGTTAACATTTAGCTCATAAAATACTCGTTTTTATCCAACAAAGTCTTATATTACACTTGTGTATAAACAAATAACACATAATAATTTCCCTTCACACAATACACCTTCACGCCATCAACTTGAAGAATAGAGGGTGGGAACACAAAAAATTAACAAAGTAAGGTCCACAAAATAAAAGGTCTGGGTCCATTAATATGTCGGCTAGAGGTGGACCCACGCTTGTGTAGCGAGGGGAACATTATGTTACTTTATTATTTAATGTATTACGTTGATAGGGGCTTTTATAATACACGAAGACACGTAAATTGTGTCTTACAGGTGATTATTTCAGTTCTAAAATTATGTTTTTCACTTATTTAAAACCTCACAACATTTTACCACCTAACAAATATACATTTGTAGCTGAAAAATTAAAGGCAAGCAATTTAGATAAAAATAACAATTTTGTCTAACCCAACACCACGCTTTGGCATTTAGAGTCAAAACCGCTGGAAAAATCACTTGAAACCGTAAAACCAGGTTGAATATAAAAAACAAAAATACTACAAAATAGTAACGAACCACTCGTTACAGGCAGTTAGGAAAGGCTTTCCCACAGCGCATCAATATTCAGTTACGCAATCGAAGCACAGTTTATCCATTGCGCGCGAAGTATTGACGCAGCAGTTACACTTCCATGTAACCGCGTCCATGTATATGTACCTCGTATTTTACGTCCACATGTCCTCGGCTGCTGGCAGTTACCAGCCTGCGTTGTGCCGATAAAAAGTAACTGTTCTCGTGGAACAGTTATTTCCCATAGTACCCAGTAACAGCTCGCAGTGCTGTGTACCCCACCGATTATCCTGACGCACTCGGTAGAAAATTGTGAAAGTGTTTTATGATTATACACCTGGCTGTTAAGGATAATACGTTGAGACTGAAATATGTTGTAGTTTTATTCTAATGTGTTCTTTATTTTGTTTCAGGTAAGTTCCAATTTTGAAATTCGCATGAATATGAGCGGTACTGGAGAGAATCACGTAAGTAACTCAGCCGAAACTCAGCGGAAATGAAACTATGATTTTAACGATTTTCTTTAAATCATCATTTTTGTGTTACACAACTATGTGTATAATTTAAAAAATTGGTGTAGGAAATATTTACATAGAAACAATCGCAAAATCTCTAATATCTAGGAATCTAGTTTCCCTACAATATAAACGATAGTTGGTTGTAGTGGGGCTGCATATGGGCGGCAATATCGTGTACTCATCAGTCAGCGGCGACTGCAACATAACTTCATTAAACCATTCGGCTCCACTCGGGGCCACTCGGTCATATTCGGTGACACTCGGCCTTACTTTGATCGAATAAAAGACGTAACCACAATTTGCATTTGCTCCGTCGAAGTAATTTGTGAAAGAGTTTACTCTGAGAACTGGATGATCGGAGAAGTGTATGAGATCTACATACAAATACCTAAAATTTATTACAAATACAAAATAAATATTTTTTCACGCTGCTCTACTATGAAATTATTTGCAGTAGTTATTGTGAACCAAAAATCTTATATTTAATACAGGTATAAAACATTTCAAACCGTTCAGACTAAAACTGCAATGTTTCACACAATATTTGGTTATATCTTAAAAACTATGATTTCAAATCATAGTTTTTAGCTGCTATGTAGCAGCTGTAGCCAAATGCCATTTAGCGCTTGTCTACATGTAGAATAGAAAACGAAATTTTATGGAATTGACGTAAATTTTGACACTTGTTAGTGTCATCCCCATACATTTTGATTTCTACTCTCTCTGTAGACAAGCGCTAAAGTGGCGTTTGGCTAAGGGCATATACTCATATGACTGTACTCATAGTATAGTGACAGTTATTAAGTCGTACGGCGTACACGGCACTGTCGTCCGATGCAATCGAGCAGTACATGTACTCACTGGGGACCTCTGATTGGTCGCGTCAGCCACGTGACGTCACACACCAGTATGCGCTCACCGCGCCACGTGACATTGTGAAATTTTATCAAAAGTTTTATTAAATGAACTTATTATAATATTATGACTGTAGTGTGTAAACATCGTTTTACTTTTAAAGAAATTGAAAAGGACAAAGTGTTAAGTCTGCCTATAAAATATTTAAAACAACCAAATATTTTTAAAATGTTTCCAACTATGAAATATGAGGCAAAAACATTACACAGCATTATTCATACTTATCGTTGTAGTATGAAGCAAAATTATTTTCACTCACATTTCATATTTTCAAACAATTTCCAACCTTATGTCTGACAAGTGAAGGAATATTAAATATTATTTGAGATGAAAGTACATTGTTGTGCAGACCCTACTCTGAGCGTCGTGTAAATGAGAGTTGTCACCTGTGATACGTAAAATAGAAATATGTAGCGACAGCGAAAAAATTACAAAGTTTATGTTTGGTCACATTATCTTAGCATTTACAGAGCTATTTTTCAGTTGCCTTTTCAGTAAAAATATGTTAAGAAGTTGGTAACTTTCTATAGAAAATACTCTTGAGGTTTAAAAAAAAATTTACGTCGTCCAATTTCATCATATTGGATGATATTATTTCAGTTTTACATACATATAAACAGCAAAGGAACAATTTCTTTTTTTTACGTATTTAATTTTCTCCGCCAGGTGTACACGTGAACATTTTAACACCTACCTATTTCGATACCAGCTTTTTTGCTAACCGTTCTTTTTGAGCGGGCATTATGTAAATTGTCTATTAGAAGCAATGAGCTACACATTTATGCGAACAAGTTTGACAACAGCCGGTGAATTTGAGGTGAAACACTTTCGACGTGAGAAATACCTTCCTGGAGAATTTTCAAAATAAAATAATAGATTTTTTAAAAACACCACAGCTCTAAAGCAAACCAGGCTCTTAACTAAGAGTTACTTAGCGTGAGGAAGCATTCTCTTTGCTTACCTTTTTATTGTTAGGTGCTACTTTAAGGTTGATGAAAAACAAGATATCGTAAACTGTCACCTATCTTAGCTTAGGGATTTCTTACAATATAAGAGAGGTTTTCGAACACACGACTTAGTCCTCTACTTCCATCTCCACCGAACCAACCCAGACATTCAAAAACGAAAAGTCAATGCAAAGCGATGATGTCTCCACACTCACGATACTCTAAACTTGTCCATTACAAATGCATTTGCACCTCTCTGCGATACACTCAACACTCGTCCATAAGTCAATAACCATAAAGTTCACTACAGGTGTAACTTTATCTTTGTATTTGTTACGGAGCACAAAGATACTTTTACGTATGATTTACACGACATTGCACTCTATGGTGTTCACATTAAGGGAGTGACGTGTGATGTTGCAGTTCAGTACATTTGGTTCTCATCACACACTTGTCTGTCCGTCTGTCTGTATGACAAATTGTTACCAGGGAACGATTAATGGTATTATGACGCTTTGTAGATTTATGATCTGATGTAAGATAATAGAATGTGATGTATGGGAGTTTAGAAGACCATAAGCTCTGTACGTTTTAGATTCAGCTGGAGACACAAGTAATAGTGACCTGTGCAGTAGGATCTAATTAGTACATCAACGAGTGAATATAAAACAACAGTGGTGTTACGTTTATTTATCTGATTTCACAAATACCGTTTCAGTTCAGAAACTATTCAGCTATTATAAATACTACAAATACAATAAGTGCACTATCGGATCATATTGGTGGTAACTTGGCTACGCGCGACGTGTCCCAGGAAGATGAGTCTTGCTGCTCCACACTCGTCTGCGCTGTACGAGAATCTGATGTTTCTGCAGTCAGAACTACTTTGTAGTCGTAGAAGAAGTGCATGTTGTACGGTCGAACTTGACCACTGCCGTTTGGACAGCGATGATCCGCTATCTTGGTGAACACTACCGATAACAAAGAGAAACAAAATAAAATTAGTATGTGTTGGCACTTAGAGCTCTGTTTAATGCACTTTTAAATAAGACATGGCTTTTAAGCTCCTAAATAATATTGGTTTATGTGTATACAAAGAATGATGATCATTGCCAATAATGATGATAATAATCTAACTCTATGAAATGCCACAGTTCATAGAGTTCCAGTATAATATTCTAGAAGCTTCCATGTACTTACTAGTACCATCCTGGCAGTTCCTGTAGTGCATCATGCAGAGACTCTTGAAGGTCCTCCTGGCTCGCTGGTACGCTCCACAGATCCACTTGATTGAGGGATCGCGCCATTTTTTAAGCATATCCGCCGGACATTTTGTACATTTACGATGCCATTTTTGCCTGTAATTGTGGATAAAGTAGTAGTAAAGTAACTCTGAGTTTTTGTATAATAACTCGGAGTTAGCTGCGCGACGTCTGTCGCGTCATGTTTCGCGCAAGGCTATGAGTATGAGCTGGAGGAGCTCAGGAGTTTCAGGAGAAGCTCAGGAGTTTTGGCTAGTTTCCCGCCACGTTAGTCGAGTCGTCATATAGTTACATGATCAAGCCGAACTTTTAAAAGTTTGTTAAATGGCCGTGTTATATTAATGATATGATATTAACTTTTGAAAGGTTTCCATAATATTTATCTCCATACCATCCTTTCCGTTCGATAGTTGACTTCGGTGTGCGATCTTTCTTTTTTCGTGGTTTTATTATTTGAGATGACGAAGAAGTTTCCTCTGTCAATGATTGTTCTAACGATTCGGAATCACCTGGACCGCCCTTCCCATCTGCGCAATATAAATATTAAGTTATCAACATCATAAACGTAACAGGGTTTCATCATTATCAACAGCCAGGCTGTTTTATAGGTAAATGTCCACTGCTGAGTAAAGCCTTTTCTCACACGGAGAAGGTTTGAGCATTAATCACCACGCTTGCTCAATACAGGCGATTTCAATCGTATAATTCGAAATTATAAGCCCAGATTTCCTAACGATGTTTTCCTTCACCAGTGGTATCTAAATAATTTTAAAAGTACATATATATAACGGAAACAGTCAGTTGGTGCTTGCCGTTGGTAGGTTTCGAGCCCTCACCCTCATGCATGAGAAGTGGCCGTCTTAAACCTCTGGGCCACGGCAGTATTACGACGTAATAGAATTAATATCATAATATCTACGATTCGCGAAGCTGATTTTAAATTATTGTTTAAATGGATTAGGTTTATCAGAGAGCGTAAAAGGAGTACTCTGCAATCGGCTCCTATATTACCCACGAGAGGAATAGGTGTACTGACAATGTATTGTACTCCACCGTGATAACACAGCAGTGTTCGTAATGTATAGGTATAACCCTTTGTACTATAATAGTTGTGCACATACTGTTATCCCCCGTTTTCCCTGATGATGAAGTGGACACCGATTTCTTCCTGTTCTGCCGTCTTGTTTCTATTAAGTTCAACTTGTTGTCTTTTAGTTTATTTTCATAATCATCTATTAATGACTCGTTGAATACGAAGGCTGTTGCGATTTGCACTGTGAAGGCATACAAAATAATTTAAAGATAATTATTACTATTTCAATCTAGGCTGCTTCATTAGCCTAGTGGTGGTTCGATTCCCGGGTTGGGTAAAGTATTACTGAGTTTTTTTAAATCTCAGTAGTAGCACGGAGTTTGGAAATGTGCTCGGTATATGGCAATAGGCTCACCCCCTACTACACGGGATACATTGTACAGTGGCATTAGGTGCCGTAATGTGCACCACTGCCTACCCCTTCGGGGATAAAAGGCGTGATGTTATGTTATGTTAAGGTAATCTAGCAAGAGAATAATATCAATTGGTAACTATTTACAGTTTTGCGTTATCACAGCATTATTTTAAGTTTTTTTTGGACTTTTCAATATTTTTATTTTGAGCTGCTAATGGTAAATGTCATTAAGTGAATATTTAGTACAATATAAATAGGTACTTACGTAACATTAACACGAGTACGAAGTACGGTACAGTTCGCACCATGGCTCCACGTCAATCATTTTACTCCCAGCACAACTTGTATGGCGGCCCATAAACATAATGCCTAACCGAATTTATTTCTATTCGATTTGAATTTTTACGATTCCGCGATATCTACGTGTAATTTTATTTTCATATGTACAATGTTTTTATTTGTTAGGAAAGTAAATATCACAGATGTTTTAAGATCCATCTCGATTTATTTCATTTTGTACATTTTAGTTCCTAGAATGTTATTTCAGTCATTATATTTAGAATGTCGATTATACGGTTGTACATGATTTATGAAAAAAATTAATATTATAGTACATCAGCGGATGTTCCAACAATTACTAATAATAAGCAATTCATAATTTTGAAGGGGTTGCATTATTTTTGTATAATATATCAATAAAAGTATATTTTACTTTAAGTTACTGAATAATAGACAGAGAGGTAATATTAAATGTTTATTTTCTTTATTAGTTTACATAATATTTGGTTTCTCCTATACTTTGTAGCCATAGAACCAGCTCCGTCCATGGTACGGGTCTTTCCTACATTTATGTTCGTGGATCTTCACAAACACTGAAAATAAAATCAAAACGTTAGAATGTGAACTATACATACTTTTTAAACCAACTAAGAACTAATGTCATCACTAAAGAAAATATCCAGTTTGTAAAAATTGATGGTAAGCAATCAATGCCGTCCATGGATGACGAGGAATTAGGCGAGCATTGCCAGCCTTTTACGCATTACAGCTTTTTTTTGAGGGGGGAAAATCATCTAATGACTTCTCCCCGTCTTGAGTTAGGCGGGAGGGAGTGTCAGACTTTTACTGACTAAAAACCACCCCATTCCTACTCCTGCCCTTCGAGCCGGAGCCCCGGCAACCCGCCAGGCCTTCCGCGGCTATAATATATTAGCTTACTGGTGCCATCCTGGCAGTTCTGTATCTCAGCATGCACTGACTCTTGAAGCTTCTTCTGGCGTTCTGGTAAGCAGCACATATCCACTTGATGCCAACGTTCGTGTACTTCTTCAACATGTCCTGAGGACAAGGATGACAGGTCCGGTACCTCTGAAAGCTATACAATTTTATACATTATTGTTTGAGTAGTGAGGTTGAAATTTGAAGTATCTGTGTCTTTCTTTTGTCACATGCTAGGATGTTACCTACAATGTATTGAAAATAAACAAAGATTACAGTTTATGGAATACACAGATAAAGCTCGGATAAAGGTTAAAACTATAGTTTGTCATCATATTGGTACGTCGTTGATTTTAAGTGACAGATATAATAATAATATTCTTTATCGGGAAAATTAAGATCCATGATAAGACCGCAGTAAAATGATCTTACGTTTGTCTCTTTTCATCTGTTTCTGATGCTGAATCGTGCGATTGTTCTTCAGTCGACGAATAATCCTTTGAAATTGATCTAAAAATGAAGAAAAGTTTCACTTGCATCTAATTCCTTTATAGTTTTAATTTATTAATACCCGATTATAAATAACGCTATTCTGTCTTAAACAGTCCATTTAATATATGTTTAGTATATATTTTATTTATCTCCTCGTTTAATTTATCCGCCTCACACGGGCAGTCCTCACATGCCATTCCTCCATCTAACGATAATGCCCGGTTATTGCTGAACGGTCTCAAAGAAAGGCTGACCATGTAAAATGGCGTCGTTCCCCTGATTTATCTCATAGCGCACGTAAATAAATTATCTCATAAATAAGAACGGGTCTTTCCGCTGAACTAGAAAATTTATTTTAGCTAAATAACGTCTTTTCGGCCGTTTTGGGGTTCGGAGGTACCCATCTAGGTACCTACAGTTCTAGTTGGATAGTAATTTAAATAGATATCTGTTAGCTTGCTAGTCATAATTTAGTACCTATAGTTAGTGTGAAAGTGAAGCTTGTGTATTTGTTGTTTTGTTATAAACGCTCCACAGATTATGAAGAACTGTTTAATAGAAAGAAAAAGCATGTATTTGACAGGTGTAAGACCTATTATACCTCTCATATAAACGGCACCTACCAATGAATTGCTAAGATGTAGAATAAATACCTTATATTTCAATTATTTTACATCCAATATCTTTCTTTCCATTTTTTCAGTTTGCTAAGGCCTGACGCCATCTACCTTTTAATCTCCCACACCATCGCTCACTATTAAATGTCTTACATAGGACTTTAAAGGACATCGAATTCCTTAATAACTCTTAACAGTTAAGCAAGTACAATTAATTATCCAAGTCATTTGGTATGCAGATAAAAAATGAAGGCTGAACCAGTACAAAGTCCGTAGGGTGGCTATCAGGAGCTAGGGCAGCTATAGGTCCACTCAGGACAACCAATGGTTACAAAAGGTTGGCTTGGATACAATACATAGTTTCACTTTTCTCAGAGTGCAAGGAACTGGCGAGGTCGATAGGGTCCACGGAGTAGTCGTACCACTGCGGGCCTCGGTGCTGTGCATCATCAAACTGAGCCAAGTTGTTCATGTCGTTGATATGGTTCAGTGGCAACTTGGTAACCTCTACAAATTGGGTCACCAAACATTTTGTTTCTAGAACATTTAAAAACTTCTATCATCATAGGTTCTGTGCTAAATTGATCCTTAATATAAAGTAAACAAAATACATTTTACCGCAAGTTATTTTCTTTCTCTATCATGTCAACTAAATAGAAAACTATCATTAACGACTGACAGTTACTGTTGAAAACTATGTTTTCTTTTGATACTATAAGTAAGTAGTATCTAGTTGATTCATTGCTTATATGGAAACTGATATTGCTTCTAGTTTTATAAAACACAATTTCAGAAACTTTTTTGTAGTATTTATGTCAAGCAAATATAATCAGGATCACTGTATACTTACCGCGTACAAATATAATTGCAAAAACCAGAACTAGCATTGTTTTAACATAGTGTTATGTTGTTATATGTAAATAGCCAACTTCACCTCGTACATACGACATTAAACAACTTGTAACATTCACGTGTCCTGACAATGATTACAGAAAGTAATCAGTTTGTGATTACTCGTTTGTCAGTTTGTCAATATTTTCTTAATCCTTCATTTAGAATGCCGATGCCTTGATTGAACCACGTTTTCATTTTATATGTCAAACTTACAAACAAATGTTCTATAATTTTGGTGTAATCGTGAGATACTATCATTATGTAAGTCGCCATTGATAAATGAAATTCTTGGGAAATATACTTATGCGGATGCTTGATGTGGTTATAATCAATAGCTCCGTATACATCATAAAAGATAAATTGATTTAAAATAAAGCCACAGGTAACACTTGTATAAAAAACATAACCAACGTTTGTTATCGATTTGGTTTAAGACCTGAATTTATTATTCCTTAACATTCGAACATTTTATTATTATAGCTGTTGCTTTCTTCCTAAACAATTGAATGGTGGAAATGCAGAGAGACTGTGAATATAATAAATAGATTTATTGTATTGATTAATATCACACTTGGTAGCCGTAGAACCAGTGTCTGCCGTGGTAGGTGTCGTTCTTACATTTGTGCTCGTGCACCTTCACGAACACTGCAAGTGATAGAAAAATACCAATTAGGAATCTTCCTTTAGCTCCATTCAATGAAACTTTACATGATTAACTATCTACAAACATACTATATTGTTTCCTATTGTGGTATTCTTCGCTTTCTCTACACTCATAAATCTCTTGGTGTAGTTAATTTTAATGCATACCAGTTTTTTTTAATTTGTGATATATATCTGTCTGTAAAGATGTTTATTTACGTCTGTTTAGATGCAATAAATATCATAGAAGATATAAGTATAATATTAAATGGAGCTCTTTATTTTCCACTCAACTCTTTAGAACAAAAGTTGACAAAACCCAGTTTAAATACGAATTTGAGGATAGATAAAAATATAAATATTATATAAAGAGTCCTTTAACAGTACAAAAATATCTTAAAGACTTTTGATGGAGATAATTAACATTGGCTTCTGGAATACTCACTGGTTCCATCCTGACAGTTCCTGTACCTCAGCATGCACTCACTCTTGAAGCTCCGCCTGGCACGCTGGTAACCAGCACAAATCCACTTGATACCAATATTCGTATACTTCTTCAACATATCATGAGGGCAAGCGTGACAGGTCCGGTACCTTTGTGTCCTGCAAATGTCGACCGTAGTGCTTAACGATAGAGTTTAGGATTGTTAATGATGGTGCTTAAGAAACTTGGCGATATACTTACGCTCGTTTCCTTTCGTTGGTTTCCTTGGACGAGGCGGATGATGCTTCGTCGCTCACCGACGAATATTTTGATATTTCTCTGTATATTAAGATTGATTATTGAGTCTGAAGTCTTCTCTCTTGTCTTAGGTAGGTACTTTTACATTGACATACTTACAAAGTCGAACTCTTCTCATCCTCCAGGCTGCTGGCAGCCTCTAGAGAGTTGACGGAGTAGTCGTACCATTTGGGACCTCGATGTTGAGCATCATCGAATTGTGCCAAATTGTCCATCTGGTTGATATGCACCAGGTGGTAGGGGGTTTGTCCCCGTTGGCATTGTGATACTATAAATCAATAGTAATTTGAGTTATAAATCAAACACCATCTTTAAGTACTTACTTTACTCTATTTTTTTTAAATATGTATCTCATAAACACCATTCAGCGAAAAACTATCTTCTTACCTTTAAAAAATAAAATCACAAATACCCAAAATAACATTATATTGACATGATAAGGTTTGTGTAAAATAAAATATACATTATTTGCGAACAAGTTTTTACGTTAAACTGTGATTTAAATTTCAATTTATGATCGTTTATGTATTTTATTGCTATTGTGAAAGATTTGCCTAATAGTTTAGTGATTTATATCATTGCAGCAGTGATAGATATTTTAAGACCTATAATAATAATTTTGGTCCAAAAACGCTCCCTGTGGTATAAGGTCAAGGTGTTACAAAAAATGTTAATGAAAAATGTTAAGAAATTAATCTAAAATAGTTAACATTAATAAAATAAAAGTTCCAGTATACGATGTTTTGCCATTTAATAAATATGATTTAAAACATCTTTTGCTGTGCACACTTAGAAACTACTCGTGAAGCCATTGTCGAGCCGTGTCGTCTTCCTTAACTAAATAATATCCTGAAACAAAGGCTAGTATAAGTTCAATGTTAATTTAAATTTCTTGAGCAATCTTCCTCTTATGTTAAAACGTAAACTTTTCGCATTCAAAGTGCATTGAGTAACTTGTAGGAACATAAATTCCCTCCCAAATTAATTTAGTGTATAGAATACCACCAGCACATGAATGTTGAAACTATTAATGTTCCATTTCAAACTAATAATTTATTTATTTTATTTATTTATTTATTTATTTATTTATTTATTTATATCAGGCAACGAAGGCCCATATTAAAATACAATAATACCATAATATCTACTACAATTTTAACTTAAAATACTATAAATACATAATTTAAATAATAAATTGAAACACTAATTATCACGACTATTGTGCTGTGTCGGCGTCGTGTGCTGCGCGGTGTCAGGTATCCGGCCGCGGAATCGCCGGAAAACAACACCTTTCGGCCAAAACTCTGGTGTCATGAATTTCGGTAAATCTACGGAAGGCACTCTCACCACAAATGAATTGAAATTCACGCTGTGGTGGGATTCTAATTTCAAAACCCTTAGAGTGTAATTCGTTTTGATCTGAATATACTCTACAATCTCCTCGACCTTTGTAGAGTAATGCAGCCTGGACACGTACAGCAGCGTCCCTGGTACAGCTGGACGCAGTAAATGTTTCGGCCCGGTCGGTGCAGTGCCGCACTTGTTTTGGGATGACTTCTTTTTCTTCTTCTGAACAGTGATAAAGCCATCTCTATCGACTTGCTGCTTTTGGCACGCGTGCTGACAGCTCTTCTGCTTAATCCCCTTTTCAGTAGGTCGCTTAGTCTGCAACGCAGTTGTTTTCTTGGCGACAATATCTGCGTAAGCACGTGTAGGGGTCGTCGTACCTATGTGTGACGTTACCGCAGCCGGTGTAGAGGTGCGGGTGACGGCGACGGCGAGCGATGCTTCGTCTGCGATTTTGGCAGTTGACAACACACTTGTATTCGCAGACTCAAAACTGCCGATTGTGGCGTTCTGCGCTCCGCGACGTGTGTTCACCTTTGAGACCTCAGGTGACCTAATTACTGAGCCTGTATTGCGCAGTGTTGTAATTTCGGCACGTAGATCAGCAATGATTTTGTCTGACTCCTCCATTCTGGACTGCATCTTGGTCATCTCACCTTTCAGTGATGTAATGTCCTTTAGCAGTCTCGTAACATCAACGTGATCGAAGGTGACAGGGGGTAGTTTACTTAGCTCCCTCGCCACAAAGTCAGGCACGTCATCTGGATCGGTCTTCTTCAACATATCGATGATGTCTTGGAGACTCTTCTCGGTGCCATCTCTGCGACGTGACGGCATTTGGTCTAGTTTTCCCAGGGACTGGAACAGTAACAGCTTGGCGCTGCTGACTTCCTCCTCCTTGTAATTGGATCGGCATATTTGCAGTATGCTCACCTCATCCATGTAGTCAATGGCATGGACTAGAAACGCCAGTAGTTCGTTCACTATCAGCGGTTTGGAACTCATAGTGTCACCGTGCAGCGGCTATTGCCGCGCAAGTCGCGAATAGAAATTCAAACCGTGTGCAGTGGAGACACGTCCGTAGCCGAGCGAGTATCGCACTGCATAATAATATATGGAGACTTCAGTTCCGAGATACAATAACAGAAATCGTTAAACTCAATATGGAGTTGCAGATCGTGCTTTCAAAATAAACGAGTGAACTGCATATTGTAATGAGAACTGTTTTAGCTGCATATTCATGTTGTTTTACCTCTACGTTGGAGAAATCAGTAAGAACTGTATTGTCTTACAATTTGTGAAGTTATACGAAGTAATGAGACTGTACTTACACATTAAATGTAGAAAAATATGTGGGTATTCTAGGAGTCATCTGGTTCATCGTCATCTAAAAAAAGTTAACATTACAACAACTGTATTTTCTTAAATATTTCTTTTATAGAAATAATATGTAGTGCACACGTTTCACCCGTTATTAATAAGCGTGGCACATGTTCTGTTATGTTAAGGTCTCAACATAAATATTTGCTATTTAATTACTATTAAACTCCGGGGAAAATAGCTGTCCTAAACAAGATCTAAAAGAACGCAGTAGAGAAATTCAATAACTAGTGAAGGCTAAAAGTTTGATTAAATATAATTTGCATGGCGGCCGGCTCACCATCTGCTCTCCTAATATATTTTTAATTTATGTCCAAAAAGTTGAAGGATCCGCTCCGGATACGGGGTACGCTTGTTAAAAATTATACTCAAGTTTGGAGTCCTTCCTAAACATCTGTGGTCGTGGTGTATGCTGATTGCGAGTATTATTATATTTTCCCATTAATCACCAATTCCCATGGAAACCTGTTCGCTTTGTCAAAAATGACGCTTTCTTTTTCCTTAAAAGAGCGAAATAGCTCTGTTCAATTTAGGGCAAACGAAACCTGTAAATCTCCACAAACAGTTCCCACTCAATGAAAGCCATGACATAATTGCAATTTCATTAAAAAATATTCTTACCAGATATCGTTCTCACTGCATTGCCTAAATAATTTGATTGTACATTTTGAATGTCTGAAAATAAAACAAAAATAAATATATTATACAAGGTTTTTAATTAACATGGTCACAATATTAATTTAGAGTACGTAAGGGACTTACTTGCTCCAATCTGCTTCTGGTTAGGTTTTCCATATACATCTCTGCTTGGTGCAGGTGGATACACTGGAGGTCTGTCGTAGTTAGGCCTCTGGTACAGAGTAGGAGCTGGATATGCGCTGGGTACTGTTTGGAATCTCGGATCATATGGTTGATAATGTCCTTGAGGTCCTGCGTAATTATTTTCCATTGCATCCCCTGGTGCATATTGGTAGTTTGGTGGATACGCGAATTGGTTGGGTTTATACGACGCAGGTGGTACTTTTATTCTTGGAGGATACTCAGGATATTCTTGGTTTACGAATGGAGGCTGGTAGTTTCGTTGATATGGTGTATAGTGAGGTGGTGGTTCGACGTAGCCTGTATCTGTCTGTAGCATAGGATACGTCTGGATAGAGTATCCTTGCTTCAGACCGTCGGCCGCACTGACTTGGTTGGTTCCAGGATAATTAACGGTTCTTGGAGTATAAGATGGATATATCGATGGTGGTCTAAAAGTGCTGGTAGCTGATAAACTTTGTGCGTCAGGGGCAACTGCTGCATACTGCCTGGAGTAGCCTGAAACATGCAAAAGTATATATAAAGTCTGTTTATAACTTTAAGATGGCACTTTCATCCCTATATAAAAATAAATATATTGTAAGCAGTGTAGTGACTGCTGTAAACCTGTCAAATAAAATTGAAACAGTTTCCGAGTAGACATAAACGTTGGTGTCCCAAAAATCATCAAGTGTAAAACGAATTTTACGTTGACCAATAAAACAGTGATAACAGGAGTGGCACCTGAATGGAAAACACAATTACCCTCACGCTATCACGTTCAGGGGTGAGTGGCTTCAGTAAATGGACATCGAGGTGTCAATACACTTGAGGGGCAATCTATAGCGCGTCAGTTTGCTCGATTGGCGCTCATCGCTCGTTTCGACCTCGTCCTTATTGCGTTTCCAAAACGATTCACCGTATTGGTTTTCCTCAATGCTCTCCCACTAATTAGGGACCGCTATCTCGGAGGACGATTGATTTATGTACCATTGTTTGTTTTGTTATCTGCTATCAAACTGCCAAGGATAGAGGCGCTTTGCCTAATTTTTGGGTAAACCTTTGCTTTCTCCGTAATTAATGTATTTAGGGAAACGTTAAATTTAACTACTGCGCATCTGATTTTGTATTGGTTTTGCAAAAAAAAACTGTTTGAGTCACAGGAGAAATATTTTAATTTGTAACTAAGATAATAAAATTTTATTGTTGAAGCCATTAATTCTTTTGATATATTTAAATATTTAGTGGACGCTCATCGCTCACCAATCCATACCCGTGAGTCCAGCTCCATTTTTAACGTCACCTGTATCTGCAATTATGACGGTGTGTCGCAGCCGCTCGTAAATTTTTACTTTATTTGTTTGCTTTTAATGTTCCAGTTGATACGAGTTTTTTATTTCTCCCTCTGTCACCCTCTGTCGGTCCCCTCACGCCGGGTGCAAACGAGCTAGCAAACGATGGCATAAAATCGACGGTTATCACGCATTTGCCAACTTTTCAACTGGCCACCGCGCGCTAAACTTTAAAGGGGATCTCGAACTGACGATTTTAATCTGAAATAATAATGTCAGCTCAGACGATGTTATGCTAGTAAAACGAATGCTAAATGTTTTCATCGTAAATGCTTACCTTAAAATAGTGGTAGCTTACCTGAAATTGCTGAAACAGAATAATGGTCATTTTCAATTTGTAATCGAATGCTATCTACATATATTTCATTCCAAATATACATTAAAAATATCTCACCAGCTTTCACAGGTTCCGGTGGTTCTACGCCTAGAAAAGAGGAAACCAGTTTAGCTTCACATTATTTAATTAAATACAATTTTAGTAACACAAACATACTAACAGCATGCTGGTTTGGTGTAGCAGTTGACTTCGACGGTGACCATACCGACCGCGGTGGCTTCCGTGCACAAACAGATCTGGCATTCATCCCAAGGGTGCTGGAACGTTTGGTTCGGGGGATATGGCCGGCAGGATTCATCTGGGGAAATGATCCTCATAAGGTCTAAATAGATACGTACATAAATCTTACAGTTTTTATTATTTGCTGCAAACTGCAGATCACGTTCATCTTTTTATGTATAGGTTTGGCAGTATTAATTGTGTAATTTTTGACATCCTTCAAGACTAGATTCATAACACTCACGTGGCGATGGACCTGGAAGCGGGCCAGGTGGTGGAGCCAGCATCGGCAGTGGAGGTCCTGGCGACACTGTCGTTATAGGAGGCCACGGTACTGGACAATAATAGATGATTTTATTGAAATCATTCAATATTTGAGACATTTTTAAAACATAATATCTTCGAGTGTGTACTCACAGGGTTCTATCGTAACAATCTCTGGTAATGGAACTGGTTCTATTGGCTCCAACTGCCCTTTCAAAGGCTCTGATGGTATCAGTTCTGGTTCAGGAACTGGTTTTCCTTTTTGAGGATCCAATGGCATAGGAAGAGAAGGGACTGGCTCCGTGACTGGTTCCGGTTTAGGTACTGTCAAAATTTAAAAGAAAATAAAAGTTTGTAATTCATACACTCGAGTAAGAAAAGCATTATTATATTTAAAAACTTACTGCAATCAGGATGAGGGTAGCAAGTAAGTACTTGCTCAGAACTGCCATTATCTGTGTCTCTCTTGGAGCACTTGCACAGCTTGCAGTTGTCGGTTGGGTGAGGGAACAGCACGTGTTCAGGGAACTTCTCACAAATTGGCACTGAAAACAACAAATATAAGCAGTGGTATTAGTTAGTCTTGCGTGGTTTCAGTGCTGGTTGAGAAAACCCCAATCAATTTATTGTACACAAATATTTTCTCCTTAAAAACCTCATGAAGGAATTGGGGATACTCAACTGAGTAACGTTCTTCGAAAACAATCGTCACATAATGCTGCGCATCCGGCATGAAAGTTACAAAAATTTTTTAATTTCATCCTAACTCAAGATTTTATTCAAGCACAATTTATTAATATCTACGTCCGACTAATCTACTATCCATATAAACTATAATAATTATTATGTAAAACTTACGTGGTATCGGTACTGGGACCTCTGGCAGTGGCGCTGTAAAACAAAAAATAGTCATTGAAATCATTAACTTGAAACATAGCGTATTGAGAAAAATAAGACAATCTGAAATACTTACGTAATGTAGTCAAGTCGACAGGTGATACTAAGACAGTAAAAAACAAAAATTAAAAATAGCATCCGAAAAAATTTGTGTGAATAAAATGATTATCTCGACTTACTGCATTGAGGATTCTCCTTGCATTCGATCTGGACGTCAACATTTCCAGACACGTCAGATTCTTTGCATGTGCATATCTGACACGGGTGCAGTGGATTTGTAAACGGTTGACCATTGGGTAGAGGACTACATGATGCTAAAAATCATAAAATTTGTATCATACATAAACATCAACAGTTTTCAAGTAAATGGCATGTCTATGATTTCATATTTGATCCAAATGGAGTCTTTTCACTAAAAGCTATTAATCAAAACGAGACACCAGCAGGTTAAGATAGATCGTTAATCTTTTATAGTGAAATTTGGATTTGTTGATTAGATTCCAATGATTTTCATTTTTTTATGTGAAGAAATTTATATTATGTGTGTGTATTATAAAACCATTAGGATTTGTGTTTTAATCAAATGAACTGTAGATAAAACTTACAAAAAGCTCAACTAAAAATATTTATTTCAAAACAATAACAATTACCTTCAGCCGGTTGCGGTGGCAGTGTTGGGATCGGCTCTGGAAAACTGTCTGGGAGAGGTGAAGGGCCTGGAATAGGGGCTGGATATTTGGGATATGGCTCTGGAGTGGGAATTTCCAAATTTGGTTCCGGATTAGGTCTCTCTGGCTCTGGTGAATATGGTTCTGGAATCATTGGGATAGTCTCAGGAGTCGCGGGTTTGACTGGAATGGGTACTGGTAGTTCTGGGATATATTCTGGATGATATGGAGAAGGTTTACGGCATCCACCACAACTCGCACAGACTGGGGTCAGGACTCCATACTCGTTAACACAAATACAGGTCATACAATCGACGCCTTCAGACCAAAAATGATGAAACTCATTTTCTTTTGTACACTGAATTACATTTTCACCCCCTGAAAATAGGAGATAGACACTATTAAGTATTCTTTATATTCATTCAGTATTCTTAACAATAGAGTATTTAAGTAACTAATGTGACATGATGCTTACCGGGCATTTTATTTGGGAATATATATTCGTGTGGCAGTATCGTTCTGGACTTTGCATCTGAAACAATCCATAATGATTAAACACTTTTATTCCATACCCAGACACCATTGTTAATTATTGTTAATGAAATTATTACCCTCGAATGCGATCGGTGAACTTTGCTGAGCTGAAAACGAAATGTTTCGGTAAATGAATGGAAGTTTTAAAACTACCATTACTTATTATTGCATTTTTAACGACTTGCTCGGGAATAATTTCAAACTTATTTTGGTATTTCTACTCAACAAAGAATCGAGAAACTAATATACAACGATTCGAATATTCACTTACTGGAAAATGTGCCGGAAGATCCTTCATATGTTGCCTTGTTGTAACCTGGGCGAAAAGGTGACTCAGATGGATAATCATACGGACCCAGACTATATTGATTAATCACACCACCAGCAGCGGGTCCTTGCTTATCCGCTCCTAAAGGATACAACTGAGGAGTTGGAACACTAGGAGGAGAATACTCGTATGAAGTCCAGTCACTCTTTGATTTGAGTCTGCCATCAAATATAACCTGTGGCTGGGTCATATCCATGATTTTTGAATTTATTGTATGCGTACGAAGACTGAGAAGCAGACGTGATATCAGATACGTCATTATGAACATGTGCTTTAGTGTTTACGTTTGAGGGGTGGCCGTTAGGCGGAGGATCAAGATCAGATCTTGAAATAGATTGAGATGGCTCAATAGCATCTTCACTGAGATCTGTTCTAAGAATGGGTCGATACGCTTCATCAGCCGTTTGTCTCTGAGAGAAACTGGAACCACCATTGTACGCCATATGTATAGAGTTCGGGACAACGACAGTCTGATACGGATCACTTTCTCCAGAAGATTTTGAAATGAGGGTATTACGATCAAATCCTTTACTGTATGTTGAAGTCAATATATCAGTGGTGTAAGGTTCCCCGCTATATGGTCTAGAAATAAAATCTTCTCGTTGTTTACTGGAAGTTGGTAATCCGAAGGACTGATATGCATAATTTATAGATTTGCTCTGAGTATGAGTAGGTTCTCTATATGGAACTAACATGGAATCGACTGATGCAAGATTTGAATCTGGTATTGAAATTGCTCGATATGGATTGTTTTCATTTTCTACTTGACCTGATTCAGAATTAAAAGCGTGGGAGCGATGAGAAATAATGTTTAATTCTGAATTTAGACCTTCATGATAAGGCACTGTGTAATAATTATCTTTTGGTTTGACCAAAGGTACAGGTTTATATGCTTCGTTGTCTATTTGTGTTTGGGAAGTCCTACATCATTGTAAGGCACTAAAAAGTGATACGGGATTTTTGGTATCGGTGGAGGCAGATAAGGCTTTTTAATAGACTGAAATAGGTTTTTGAAACCAACTGAATTCGTTTCTGGGTTATTCTGGTGAGTTAGTGATAAATCAGAGAGCAAATCCGTAGAAGGATGGTATTTAGAGAAAGACTTAGAATTAGGATCACGTAAATGTTGATTGAAGGAAAGTTCAACATCAGGTGGGATTGTGGAACTTATGCCTTGTTTATAATTAAAATTAGGCGAAGATTTTAATTCACGTTGAGATAATCCATTACCGGTGTCAGCTTGTGGTCGGGGTAAATTACCTCCAGAACTGTAGGAGTAGGATGGTGAGTATGGATACGAGTTAGCTCCGGGGTTGTACAAGCCACTATCACTATTGACCCCAGCTTCTGCTTGTGACAAACTGGATCCTGGTGGAGCAGATTGAATAAAATGTTTTGAATAATTAAACTACTAAATGATGGAGCATGAACTGCACTGCTATAGCAGCTGTTTTCGATTGAGAAGAATTTCAAAATCAACACAAAGTAGAGAAAATCCACCACCACTGTGCCAATCTACCTTACTCATGGAAATATAAAGATAATACAAATTGTATATTTCGCAATATCATGCATCTTATTATTCACTTTGAAAACGTGTATGATGAAATTACCTCCAACATTACGAGAAGCACTTTGCCATATTGCTCCCGATCTGTCATCATCATCATCATCTTGAGAGTTAGATTCAGTTACAACTAATTCTGAAAGATTATTTTTGGTTACTATACATCAAATGTTTGTATTTAATCAACTGATTTTCATGTTATTAGTAGCAAAGAATATTGAAGATTTAGTACATTACCATTTTTGAGATCACTGGGATTTTCTAATTTATTGTCATTTAAACCATTTGTTTCTTCAGCTCTGCCTTTAGATAACAGGAAGGCTAGGAGACAGATGCCTCCAATGACCCCACCCTGCATCCCGGCTTGTTGCACTTTACCCCTAAACTAATAATTACCCAGTTATGAACCATTAACTATTATTCCCCCAAATGAATTGACAAGCATTGAACACTCATTTTTATAATCAAACCTATAATCGTATGTGACAACCATTTGACATTTTAATATTGCTACGATAGCAAATCACAATAATTCTTAACGTAATTACTGAATCAATGAATCTGATTGATTGGATTTGTTACGGAATAATTTATGTTAAATGGACGTGCGTGCATTGTATAACATAAACAGTGCATTACAATTTTTAGTCTTAAAGGTGTAGGCAGAAGTCCTATTCAATATAACACGCATTTTTGGCACCTACTACATAATATTATGTCTATAATCTACCTGAGTGGGTGTACCTTTCCAGTCATCGTACTGCTACTGAGAATGATTGGTACCAAATAAAAATGTACCTACATACTTCAAAGTGCTTTGCCCGACTCCGGAACCAGAGAGTGTGATAATTGCAAACTAACAATATCAACGTCGTTCATATCCTACATATATTATATTCTTTTACTTTCTTGATTCATCTAATTATTTAAACAGTCAACAATTTGTCATCAGTAAATTGTAATGTCTTTAATTCAATTTACAAGTAATGTAGGTTATGTGTATAATTACAATTATCTATTTTTACAATAAAAATGAACCTAATATTGAACCCTTCGGTACGGCCATTGACATACTATCATTGTGCCTGCCATACAGATGGAAAATCATAATATTTTAGATGTATACATTTCATAAATCAAGAGATGCTCTTATACAGAAGTGTTGCAGTATCTGTAATATAGTCTCCTTGGTTATCACAAACGAACGCTTTTAAGAGATCATAAAAACACACAATTGGTTACGTATTTTTGAAAGTAAAACTTTAATGAACCCTGTATACCACAAGATGCCCAGCTGAACATAAGCGTCCCCCAATGACCTTCAGATAGTTGGATATAAAATATTGTAATATTTAAGTAAGCATCATCAATTCATCATCATCTACAGCCGAAAGGCGTCCGCTGCTGGACAAAGGCCTTCCCCTTTTAAGTAAGCATAAATTCTTCAAATGTAATACTATAGAGGTAATGCTTTGAAGAATATATCTCTTGTTCAACAATTTTGATTGAATGGTTAGCCAAATAGGAGTTTATAATAAAAATCGAATTAATCCCACTAGTAGCTTTATTACATAAATAATACATATAAGTATGAAGTTTGCTCGTCATTTTCTGGATGCTTCGATTAAAATATATAAACTTTATCAAATCCATTATCTTGCCAAGTTTGTAGAGAGATCATTGTGATGAGTGTTGGTCTGAAAAAAAAGAACAGATTTAGATATATATCGTTTTCGTTTCTCTATTTATTATTATTTATTATACAGCAATATGAACTAGTAAAGAAAATTTACTTCATGGTATTGTCAGGTCTCGTAAAATTATAATGATTATACATAGATATTATTCTACATCGGTAGTACAGAGACATACAATATGCCCTTAGTGTAATGGTAATACTTACTTATTCTCAGAAGTTTTGTGGTTTATTAGGCTCTCATTCTGAGTCTGAGCCTGCGTTGCTCAACGTTCCTCTTTCTCCTGGAGTCTGCTCGGTCTTCTGACGAATCGTCTGCTAAATCTGAATCAGTATCTGGTTCGCCACTTCGGATAATACCAGCATTGGCTAGTGCCTGTGCGATACTGAGAGAATTTCCATAGCCACCGTAACCACCAGCTGCATTAGCAGCGGCGGCAGCAGCAGCGGCAGCAGCAGCAGCGTCTCCATGGCCACCATGATCGCCAGCAGCCGCAGCAGCAGCAGCGACGGCAGCAGCAGCGGCCGCTGCATTAGCGTCTCCATGGCCACCATAACCACCACCACCACCAGCAGCAGCAGCTGCAGCGGCAGCGGCAGCAGCTGCAGCACCAGCATTACCGTCTCCATAACCACCGTAACCGCCAGTATTAGCTGCAGCTAATGCTGCAGCGTTAGCGTCACTGTAGCCACCATATCCTCCTAATCCAGATGCTGCATTGGCAGCAGCTTGAGCTGCGGCATTAGATAAACCATAGCCGCCATACCCAGCATTATTAGCAGCAGCCTGAGCAGCTGCATTAGCATCACTATAGCCACCATATCCTCCTAATCCGGATGCGGCATTGGCAGCAGCTTGAGCTGCGGTATTAGATAAACCATAGCCGCCATAGCCGCCAAAGCCAGCATTATTTGCTGCGGCCTGAGCAGCCGCACTAGCGTCACTGGAACCACTAAGCCCAGTAAGTCCGGAAGAAGCCAAAGCTGCAGCATTAGCATCGCTATACCCACCATATCCTCCTAATCCAGATGCAGCGTTTGCAGCAGCCTGAGCTGCGGCATTTGATAAGCCATAACCGCCGTAGCCAGCATTATTTGCAGCAGCCTGAGCAGCTGCACTAGCGTCACTAGAACCACCAAGTCCTATAAGTCCAGAAGAAGCCAAAGCCGCAGCATTAGCGTCGCTGTAACCACCATATCCTCCTAATCCAGATGCAGCGTTGGCAGCAGCTAGAGCTGCGGCATTGGACGAAGAGGAGCCAAGATTATTAGCTGCAGCTTGTGCAGCAGCACTAGCGTCGCTGTAGCCACCATATCCTCCTAATCCAGATGCTGCATTGGCAGCAGCTTGAGCTGCGGCATTAGATAAACCATAGCCGCCATACCCAGCATTATTTGCAGCAGCCTGAGCAGCTGCATTAGCATCACTATAGCCACCATATCCTCCTAATCCGGATGCGGCATTGGCAGCAGCCTGAGCTGCGGCATTGGATGAAGAAGAGCCTAGATTATTAGCTGCAGCTTGGGCAGCAGCACTAGCATCACTATAGCCACCATATCCTCCTAATCCAGACGCGGCATTGGCAGCAGCAAGAGCTGCGGCATTGGATGAATAAGATCCAAGATTGTTAGCTGCAGCCTGGGCAGCAGCACTAGCGTCACTGTAGCCACCATATCCTCCTAATCCAGATGCTGCATTGGCAGCAGCTTGAGCTGCGGCATTGGATAAACCATAGCCGCCATAGCCAGCATTATTCACTGCAGCTTGAGCAGCTGCACCAGCATCACTATAGCCACCATATCCTCCTAATCCAGATGCGGCATTGGCAGCAGCTAGAGCTGCGGCATTGGATGAAGTATAGCCAAGAGAGTTTGTGACACCTTGGGCAACAGCATTGGCGTCACTATAACTTCCAAGTCCTTGTAGACCAGAAGCGCTTTGAGCAGCTGCTTGAGCGGCAGCGTTAGACGAACTAAGACCTAAATAACTGGCAGTATTAGCAGCAGCTTGAGAATCTGCAATGCCGTATGCACCATTGTAACCGTTTCCAGCATTGGCCACTGCTTGAGCGTCCGCCAGGCTGTATGCACCATTGTAACCATTTGCGGCGTTAGATACTGCTTGAGCGTCCGCCAGGCTGTATGCACCATTGTAACCATTTGCGGCGTTAGATACTGCTTGAGCGTCCGCCAGGCTGTATGCACCATTGTAACCATTTGCGGCGTTAGATACTGCTTGAGCATCTGCCAGGCTGTATGCACCATTGTAACCATTTGCGGCATTGGAAACGGCTTGAGCGTCTGCCAGGCTGTATGCACCATTATAACCATTTGCGGCGTTAGATACTGCTTGAGCATCTGCCAGGCTGTATGCACCATTGTAACCATTTGCGGCATTGGAAACGGCTTGAGCGTCTGCCAGGCTGTATGCACCATTATAACCATTTGCGGCGTTAGATACTGCTTGAGCGTCTGCCAGGCTGTATGCACCATTGTAACCATTTGCGGCATTGGAAACGGCTTGAGCGTCTGCCAGGCTGTATGCACCATTGTAACCATTTGCGGCATTGGAAACGGCTTGAGCGTCTGCCAGGCTGTATGCACCATTATAACCATTTGCGGCGTTAGATACTGCTTGAGCATCTGCCAAGCTGTATGCACCATTGTAACCATTTGCGGCATTGGAAACGGCTTGAGCGTCTGCCAGGCTGTATGCACCATTATAACCATTTGCGGCGTTAGATACTGCTTGAGCGTCCGCCAGGCTGTATGCACCATTGTAACCATTTGCGGCGTTAGATACTGCTTGAGCGTCCGCCAGGCTATATGCACCATTATAACCATTTGCAGCATTGGAAACTGCTTGAGCGTCTGCCAGGCTGTATGCACCATTATTACCATTTGCGGCATTGGCTGATGCTTGGGCATCCGCGATGCTATATCCACCTCCATAACCAGACCCCGCGTTAGCGGTTGCTTGAGCATCAGCAATGCTGTATCGACCACCATAAACAGGCGCTGTATTAGCGGTTGCTTGAGCATCAGCGATGCTGTATCCACCTCCATAACCAGAACCCGCATTAGCGGTTGCTTGAGCATCTGCGATGCTGTAACCACCTCCATAACCAGGTCCAGCATTAGCGGTTGCTTGAGCATCAGCGATGCTGTATCCACCGCCATAACTAGGTCCAGCATTAGCGATTGCTTGAGCATCAGCGATGCTGTATCCACCTCCATAACCAGATCCAGAGTTAGCAGTTGCTTGAGCGTCAGCGATGCTGTATCCACCTCCATAACCAGATCCAGAGTTAGCGGTTGCTTGAGCGTCAGCGATGCTATATCCACCTCCATAACCAGGTCCAGCGTTAGCGGTTGCTTGAGCGTCAGCGATGCTGTATCCACCTCCGTAACCATATCCAGCATTAGCGGTGGCTTGAGCATCAGCGATGCTGTATCCACCTCCGTAAGCGGGCGCTGTATTAGCGGTTGCTTGAGCCTCAGCTATGCTATATGCACCTCCATAAGTAGGACCTGTATTAGCATTTGCTTGAGCATTAGCATTAGAGTAATCTCCTCCGTAACTCAATGGTGCGCCGGTATTTGCTACAGCGTTAGCATTTGCATTTGATCCTGAGTAAGTTTTTCCGTTCCAACCTCCAGTAGTAGCTGAAGCATCAGCCGATGCACTGGGACCACTGGAATATAAATTGTAGGGTCCGTATTTGACAAGAGGTGACAGGCCGGTGTTAGCGTTAGCATTAGCTTCGGCCGTAGATGATCCACCTGTACTTATTGCATTTGCTGAGGCACCAGCTGTGCTCCAACCAGGTACTTTTGGTTTACCTATAACATGTAAAATATATGTTAGAACCAAAAATCTTTAATCATACCATCTTGGGCACTGACACGTTCCTGAAAATGACTTACCAATGCAATTACTGTCATGGCTGGTCTCAATAAAGACGTAGTTGTAGACGATCTTACACACGTGGATTACGCACGGCTCGGATGGAACGTAGAACGGTACCAGAGGTTGATGATGTTTGCACTCAGGGGCTAAAAATTAAAAGAATATTAATTTAATGTAGCATAAGCAAAGCTTTACTATTGTATGATTGTGCTTTTAGTACATTACTACTGTTATCATAATTCACACTTTGTTAATAACTGCGGGGCGGCCCCTACTTCCCTCAGCTCCCATTTTTCGATGTTCCCGGTGAATTTATAGAATTATTCTTCAATACAAACGTGGTGTTAACTATAAAGAATACTACAAAAAATATTATCGAATTTGGTCGAGTAGTTCGGGAGTAATGCGCGTACATACATTTCGGTGAATTATGTTTATTTATAAGATAATCCAAGAAAATTTCTGTACTCACCTACGTAGAGGACGACGGGCACTGGGTAGAACTTTGTCGCTGTAAAATAATTATACTAATTAATTAATAAAGTCAAAATCACAACGTATTTTACATGGAAGACATAAGATATTTGTAAACTTAATGATTTTTTATGTTTATATTTCAATAATTTCGTTAGGCCTACCTCCAGGTACTGGTACGGGCACTGGCACTGGTACAAGTTTGTCCTTGCTAGGTACCGGAACTGGTAGTATCTTAGGTAGTTGTGGTACAGAATACGGCCTGTTCGAAATGTAGATCTTGTCAGCAGGTACTGGTACGGGTACAGGTACAGGCACTAATATGTTTTTACCTGGTACCGGTACTGGTACTGGGTAAGGACGTGGCGGTCCACGGATAAACAGTGGAGGTGGACCTGTTGATGAATATAAAAAAAAATTAACTTAATATTGTTTATCATCACTGCTACATTGGTATAGGTATTTTGAATACCACGCTACAGAGCTTGAACGGTTTTCCCAGGCGTGAACTCCAACTCTTCAATGGGAGTGAATCAACGGATATAATTTTTTTGATGCAATAAATGTTTATCATCATTATTAACAGCCTTTAAGTGGCCACTACTGACCAAAGGCCGCATCTCACACGGAGAAGGTTTGAGCATTAATCACCATTCAACCAATCAATGAATGCGGGTTGGATAGGTGAATACTTACAGAACAGTACTTGGTCTTGAGGTGAGGGTTTCGGTGCTGGAGGCTGAGGTCCTGGTTGAGGTCCTGGTTGTGGTCCTGGTTGTGGTCCTGGTTGTGGTCCTGGTTTCGGTCCCGGTTGTGGTCCCGGCTGTGGTCCCGGCTGTGGTCCCGGTTGTGGTCCCGGTTGTGGTCCCGGCTGCGGTCCCGGTTGTGGTCCCGGTTGTGGTGCCGGTTGCGGTCCCGGTTGCGGTCCTGGTTGTGGTGCTGGTTTTGGAGGTAATGGCCAGCCTCGTGGGACAGGCAGAGGCAGTGGTTGCGGTGGCAATGGTTGTGGAACTGCAACAACAGAGAAAATGTCAAAACTTTTTTTTACGTTGCGACACTTGTATTTGTATCGTAGGTGTGCTTACAAAAATACAATTTCACATGCACATGACACCTAGATCTGAAAGAACAATTTGTGGATCACACAAAAAGTTGCTTCGAGCGGAAGTCGAACCCAGCCATCGCGCTAATCGTGCAGTCGTTCAGTCAGTCGCAAATATTGTAATTTTAAAATGATAACAGCGCAATCGAATAGTTTTATTATTTTTCGAAATCGTAAACAAGTGCCGACAGGAAATAAAATAAGCCAATTTGTTAGGAAAGGAAAAAAATCTTGAGAATTGATTAGAAAAAGAAACCTTACTACATTTGGAAATAAATGTTAGATTTCTATGTGTATTACCGACCTGGCTCTGGTGCTGGTTCTGTTAATAAATTATATAAATATTAATTTGTATTGTATTTACTAGCAGGACACTTTAGGAGTACTGACTATTGTAAAAGCATAGATTTCTAGATTTTGCGTACTCTATGACTTTTGTTGTTGCTATTTCGAGACTCTCTTGCTATGGTTATGCAATTTACATGAGTGAATTAGCCATCAGTAGAGATAGGTTCCTCACAGGAGTTTTGTACAAAGATCAAGGCATTATTAACTGAGAATGATTTTACTTTAAATTTTCTTAATAAGTTTAAAGATACCTGGTGCAGGGGGCTGTGGAGCTGGTATCGGAATTACTGAGAACAAAGAAAAAAAATGTATTTAAATTACTTTCTGATAAAATATTATATTTTAACGATTGTCAACAGGGGCAGTAAGTTATAACTACAGTACATATTATTTTCAATTGAAACTTAATGTGATTTCACAGGCATTAATTCTGGTGACGGAGTGAGAACAATTTTTAAGTTAACGTGAACAAATCGTTATCGCGTGAAGTCTTTTGATTGGTTGGTTAACTTGAAGCTGGCCAATTAGAGCGGCGAACGTCATAAACATGTCGATCGCGTTATCGTTAAACAAACTAAAATCCAAGAATTAATAGATTTGTTTATGAATGACCACTTCTTCTACTTGACGAAATAAACAGACAGATAAATAAGAGCATATAGGATAATAAGAGATATAAGCATATATTTGAAATTGATCAATGATAAATATAATATACGACTAGAATACAAAATCAGAACTGACAGACATTACATAAGATTGTAACGATAACATAGAACAAACTGGAAAAGTGCTTCTTCTCTAGATAATATTAATGACAAGATTTTTTTTTAAGTCGTCAAAACCACTGAGTGACGGTAATAAAGACATTTTTAAAGAGGTTAACATTATATATATAGACAAAGTAAGAGTCGACATAGAATAATGTCTTATATAACATGTTAAATCCAATGTATAATTAAAAGAAAAGAAAAAAATATATAATATATAAAAAAATATCATTTACCTGGAGCCGGTTGTGGAGTAATATTTTCTGGTTCTGTTACAAAATAAGTAGATAAGTTAAGTATAAATTTTACATAAAATAATAATTATATTACAAAAATAATAAAAATTACTGCATTTTATTACATAAATAAATAACTTCAGTATGTGACATACAGGGAGTGATAAAAATATACTTTGTAATCGAAGTGGTTTATATAAAAGAAAAATAAATAAAGATAATAATAATCCAGAAGTAAATCAATAAACATTAGCCGTTATATTAAACACAAAATAATAATAAATAAAGCTTTGATATACCTGGCTGCGGCTCCGGTAATACTTCTGAAATTAATGAAAAATAAAGTAATTAGAGAGAAATATTCACAGATTTCATTGAAAATCTAATATTTTAACTTAAAATTATACCTGTATGAGGCAATGGTGCTGGAATATCTGTAAGGAAATTATATAAGACTGTGGTTTTTTAAAAATCTATGAAAATATAATTATTGTAACAATACTATGTTCGTTGACTATTATTGGTCCAAATATCAAAAAATAAAATGATACCTGGAGTAGCCGTAGGTGAAACGTCTGCAAAATATTAAAATATTTTTATAAATACTCATTTTTACTTTAAAAAATAAATCAATTATTTTAGAAAAGAAAAATATAAATATACCTGGTAATGGGTGAACTGGTGGAACTATTGGGATCAGATGTCCTGCGGAATATTACAAAAAAATAAATAAATAAAAACAGGTCATTTTAAAAATCTAAATCATAATAGAAATGAAAAAAGGAAAAATAGTAACAGTTTCAAAAGAGGAAGAAATGATAGTAAACGAAAAATTCTTACAAAAATTTGCACCATCTGATAGAATTAAACAGATAACATACCAAATAACCCAGAAATAAAAATACAACGATAATGCAAGGGCTTTTGATAAAAATAACCGAACAATACATACATACAATACGATCGAGATTAAGGCACATTTTAGAAAAGAACTTAATGAACCTATAAAAACACGCACAGAGGACAAGATTCAATAAAATATCTACCAACTAAAAGAAATTAGAACTAAGATTGAAGAACATAATAATGATAAAATTAAATAACAACATAATACATAAATACCATGTTACCAATATCAAACAAGACTCAATGACAGCAGAAAGAAAATTGACGCTTGAAGTAAAAATATTAGCTCGAAATTTACAATATGTTGAATCTGGTTTTTAAAATAAAACAATCGTAGAAATTACTAAGGCGATCAATGTTTTTATCTTATGCGTGGCTCTAGATGAAGCTGCTACGAAAAACTGAAAAGTAGAGAACAAATAGGAAAGAATACAAAAGCGTTGAGTAAATATCCGTCCCCATCTCATTTACCTTCAGGAGGAGGTGATATATTAATCACTTCTGCAAATAATTCAAAAGGTACAAATTAGTCATTAGTAGATGCAGATTTTAGTATTTCATGTTCAAAACAATTGTGATGTACCTGTATGAGTCGTCACAGATACTGGGGCTAGCGGAGCTATTTCTGTGGAAGATTATTCAAGTAACTATACTGAGTTATTACTAACGCCAGTGCTTCAAGCAATATACACAGCAATACAATACACTGTTACAGTACAAAGTAAACGAAATAAAAGTAAACTTTATGATTATGGTTATGTATTTACTTCTGACATTAATATAAAACAAATTAATGATCTGTGAGACAATTCGTCACAAGAATATTAATTTGAATTAAATTTGAAAATAGAATTAGAAACTGAATTCGTAAAACGTGTTGAGGATGTAATCGGTTGTTTTTCTGGAACATGTTTAGAAGAACTAAATTGGGTAACAGGAGTGATTATAATGATAGTAGATAATGTAATTCTTTGAAATGTACCTGGAGGATGAGGATGTGGTTGCTCTGTAAAAAGTTTTAAATGTATCAAAACAAGCATTATGATGCATTATGTAGATGTAAAACTAATAACGACAACAAAGAAATACTCAAAAATTACAAAAGATGGTACCTGGTACTCCTTGAGGTGCAGGCTCATTATATATGTATCCTGGTGTACAATAAAATTATTGTTTAATAAAAATAAAGTTTTTTGGTATAGATTGTGTAACCTTACAAATGTAATTACCTGGTTGGATGGATGAGAGATACCGGAATGGTGGGCCCAGCTCTGTAAAAGAGGTGCATTGAATAGAATCACACTGTCAACCTAACATCACTGCAAAAACAGTGAAATGATACCTAATTACATCCGGTGTTTGTGAAGCTGAAAATATAATATTAGTTCACAATATTTTATACTTGTTTGTGGAAGTGTTGGAATTTATGTCATAATAATAAGCTTATAGAATTGCTTTTCTCAAAATATTCGGGTATATATCTGGGTGTGGTGGTCACAGTGAGGGTGATGGAAGTAATTCTGTAAGTGGCAGTATTCAATTTAGGCTGTCTCTATTTTTGTAAACAATATAAGCAAAAATGCTTTAAGATGTTCCTTGTCTCTAAATGAGTTAATTTAAGTTTGTATCTATGGTTTAGAGGCTAGAGGTAGAAAATAAGATAGGTTAAAGTGAAAAACGTGGCCAAATTATTGAGTAGAATTGAAATGTACCTGGATGTAGAGGCGATGGAGATGGAGGCTGTGGTTGATGCTCTGTGAATAACGGAGTAAATAGTATATTAGTATTACTTAAGTCAACATTAAGAGATCAATAAAATGCTGTAGTGATGTCTTAAATTTCAAGTATTCGTTTGAATGGGACTCTAATTACACGGATGTGGTTTAGTGGAAGGCGCTGCGAAAACCAATTTTTATACAAAAATCAAGATCTCAAACTCCCACCAAATAACAAACTGTTTTAATTAGACAAGAAATCACCTGGACGAGGTGCCGGTGGACCAGCTTCTGGAGCTGCTTCCGGAGCTAATGAAAATAAATTAAACTTAAAGACCTTTTCAAAACACACTTTAATGCAGCTTGGCATTTATCGTGTACACAAAATTTTAGCTAAATCGCTTAAAGATACCTGTTTCAAAATTTAGTTACAAAATTTCACTTTACACACACCCATCGGCGCACGTGCGCTATCACGCGAGGGTACATACGTTGCAAGTTAAATAAATGCTTATAATAAAGAAGTATATTAAATGAGTAGAGTATAAAGAGCTGGCACAGACAATACTGGTGATATAACTGTCCCTGGTTGTGTAGGTAACCATGTGAACAATTTCGTAAATTGTTCGTAAAATTAATATGTAATCATTTAAATATTCCTTTATTATTTGTAATACACCGGAGTGAGAGTGATTGAAGCGGTTCTGTGAGTGTCAGTCATTCAATCTAGCCTTATTTTATTTTAATAATCATTGTACTTTACACCCATGGGTTACAAATACTAATAAACACTAGGTACTTAGGTAATTTAAAGACACGCTTTCACATATTTGATTTAGGCAGTGTTAAAAGCAGCTAGGTGTTTATAGTCATATTGTATACTAATCGTGTATACAAAATGTAAGCTCTATCGGTTGAAGGTACTCGAGCTAGTTCACAAATATATTTAATATAATATATATAAAAGTTTGTAATAATACCGAGTAAAGTTGTACTTTACAAAATAGATACAAGTTCTGAATTGAGATGGGTGCTCTGGTTGTTGCTCTGTGAATAATGGGGTGTCATATTTGTTATAAAATTAAACGAATATGTTTACAAAAAAACAGTGGTGCTCTTAAATTTCAAGGAGACGGTTTATATCTGGCTAATCTTATACCTGGTGATGGGTGTGGTTCAGCGGGAGGCGCTGCGAAAATAAATATTTATTAAAAAAGAAATTTAACCTCCCACCAAATAAAAAACTGTTTGAATGAGTCAAAGAATCACCTGGATAAGGTGCCGGTGGACCAGCTTCTGGACCTACTTCTGGAGCTAATTAAAATAAAGTAGTATGTTCAATAAGTGGATTCGATACAGACAATACTAGAGATGAGGTAAATACATATTAATAAAAAAGTAATATATCAAACTTCCACCAAATCACAAATTGTTTAAATGACACAAGAAATCACCTGGATGAGGTGCCGGTGGAGCAGCTTCTGGAGCTACTTCTGGAGCTGATAAAAATATCGAATTATATTTAATGAGTGAAGAACAAAGAGCTAGTCCATACTAATAGTGACGTAACTGCACCTGGTTGTATCATTGTTTACAAATTGAATAAATGTGAAAAATGTGTAAAAGAAAATATGTACCTGGGTGTAGAGGCGATGGAGCTTGATTCCATGGATGCCATGGAGGCAGCTCTGTGAAGAACAGAGTTAAGCAGTATTAAATTTAATCGAATTTATCACAAACTGCGTAGTGATAGTTTTAATTTTCAAGTAGGCGGTTATATGTGATTTGAATGTACCTGGATGTAAGGGCGGTGGAGATGGTTGCTCTGGTTGTTGCTCTGTGAATAACAGCGTGAAATGCATTTAGTAAAATATAAACACATGTAAATATAGCTATGTTATTATGTTATTCTCTTAAATTTCAAGTAGAAAATCATAGTCGAATACTATATATTTGACTAATAATATATCTACCTGGTGATAGCTCTACATATACATGTTCATTCAAGTCGTAAGGCTACATGCTCTATCCAAAGCAAAATTGTTTGAATTGTACAAGAAATCACCTGGATGAGGTGCCGGTGGACCTGCTGCGGGAGCTACTTCTGGAGCTGATGAAAAATAAAGGAGAATGTATAATGAGTGAAATACAAACAGATGGTACAGACTAATGGTAATATAACTGCACCTGGTTGTAACCTTGTTCACAAATAGGATATATATAATTTTTTTTTTGAAAGGGTTAAAAAATACCTGGGTGTAGAGGCGATGGAGATTGATTCCATGGATGCCATGGAGGTAGCTCTGTGAAAAACAGAGTGAAGTGGAATTAGTTTTATTTAAACTGTCAAACACCAAGCGGTCACCGGTGACCGCGACCTATTGTTCTTTAATTGTGTCTATAAAACCGGTACTCGACGAGTTAATCGATTTTTATAAATCAGTGGTGTCCTCCTATTTATTCAAGTAGTCGGTCATATTTGCCACTACGCATGGTAGCCGATATGGTTCTGGGAAAGGCACTGCAAAAATGTTCATTGAGAGAAGTAATAACACCTATAATGGTGCCAGATACTGCAAAACATACGAAACGTTTTAAATGCAAGTTGAAGTGATTTAGTGAGTTAAGTGTACCTGGATGTTGAGGCGATGGAGGTGGATGTGGTGGTTGTTGCTCTGTGAATAACAGCGTGAAATATTTTTGTACTATATCAATTTATTTCTTGTTTATCGAAAGCTGTGATAGTTCATTAAATTTCAAAGAGCCGTTAACATTTAAGTAGTATTATACCTGGTGATGGATGTAGTTCAGGGTAAGGCGCTGCAAAAACAAATGTATATACAAAAATAAGATCTCAAACGCCCACTATATACCAAATTCTTTGAATTAGATAAGAAATCACCTGAATGAGGTGGTGCCGGTGGACCGAATTCCGGAGCTACTTCTGGAGCTAATAAAAGTGAAGAAGTGTGTTACATGAGTAGATTAGGTACAGAGAATATTAGTGATAATACATTGGGCAGCTTTGTGAAATGATCGTAAGTTAACATTTTCTTTAAAAACTGTATTATACCTGGGTGACCT